GGGTCAGTTTTTCGAAATTGAGATTTATGCATGATCTGAAAGTTGAATAAATAAGCCTTCCATTGGTGTAAGATTTGTTAGGATAGGACAATATTTGGCCGAGATACAACTATTTGAAAATCTGGAATCTGAGGGTGCACAAAAATCAAAATATTGAGAAAAATCGCCTTTAAAGTTGTCCAAATGAAGTTCTTAGCAATGCATATTACTAATCAAAAATTAAGTTTTAATATATTTACAGTAGGAAATTTACAAAATATCTTCATGGAACATGATCTTTACTTAATATCCTAATGATTTTTGGCATAAAAGAAAAATCAATAATTTTGACCCATACAATGGATTTTTGGCTATTGCTACAAATATACCCCAGCGACTTAAGACTGCTTTTGTGCTCCAGGGTCACATATACAGTCTGGCACAAAGCACTAACAGTATGCGCATCCGATGCAAAGAATGATGCTCTTGAAGCAAGAGTCACAGCACGCAACACTTCGCAGTAAAAAGTTCAAAGCACAAAGCGAAGAGATTTTGATGTGTAGTGCATTATAACTGTGCAACAGTTTATTGAGCCTTCTCTTTTAAGAGTTTTAAATTTCAGTTACCGTGCGCTTTAAAAACTATTTATAGTCTTTTCTACTCCCATGTTTTGTTCTAACAGACACCTGGTAGCTAGTAACATGATTTAGAAACAACAATAAATGCTGAATGCTGGTTTGAATGCTGAATGGAGAATGACTGACAGCCGCAGTGGATAAAAGAGTTTACGTGAACTTTAATGTACCGACTTAAATATTCATCTGTACCTCACATTAAGCTATCGTATGGCTTCAGAAGACTTGGAATAGAGTGCATAACGATTATTAGAGTTTGAACTTGCTGTTTCTTTGTAATTATTTGTAAAATTTACTAGCAATATCTAAGTGAAAATGGTTTCTACATCAATTGTTTTTCAGTGTAACAGTAGCTCACGGAGGTCTTTTTAAAAAAGTCTGAGTTTGCTGTATTCCCGAACATGAGCTCAGCTGCTCTGCACTAGCTGGAAATGTTAAGTCTTTCTGCGCCAGAGGTTTACTCATGAGTTCAGCTTCAAAGCTGAATGATCAATCAGTGTAATCTACAGGGTCAGTGTGCTGTCGACACCTGCCAACAATCAAAAGCACATTAGGGGTGGAAACCAAGTTTATTGGCACTGACATTGTTCTCAGGAAGATGTATCATTACATGCTACTACTCTGCAATTTCCCTCAGTGTTTTTCCTAACCACACTTCTGAAGCACATATCAGCGGCACTGCTGCACTTACATGTGATAAAATGCCACATTATTTGAGTAATTTACAATAAAATATCACAAAGGAGATTTGTATTTCTCATGTTTTTCTAGATGGTTATTAGATTCAATGGAAAGCAAACTGTTTAAGTTTAATTTTTCTGAAAAAGATCTCACATTCGTTCTTGGGTTTTCAGAAGAGATCTCCTTTACTTCTCAGACTTTACTTAGATTCAACAAGATCTCTGCAATGAACCAAAGGTCTCAATATAAACTCAAACATGCCTCATTAAATTCCTGAAAGTCCAAATGATCCAGATTTACAACTTACTCCATGCCAACAATTGACTCTTTTCTTTTTTTGAAAGGAATTATTCACTGCAAAAAATGATTTTCTCAGTATTTTTTCCAGTATAAATATCTAAACATTCTTAAATCAAGATACATTTACTTGAGAAGCAAAATGGCTTAAGATATTATCACAAATTAAGTGAGTTTATGCTTAAAACAAGAAAAATATCTGTCAGCAGAGTGAGAAAAATAATCTTGTTTTCCTTTTGAATTAAGTTTATTTTTCTTACTGCACTGACAGATATTTGTTCTTGTTTTAAGCATACTTTAAGCTCACTTAATTTTGATGATTTAATAAAAAAAACAAAAAAACAAGACTTAACATCTTAAGTTAACTTTTTATGAATGTTTACACTGAAAAAAATATTTTCTTAGAACCAAGATACATTTAATTGAAATGCAAAATGGCTTAAGATATGAAGTCTTGTTTTCTGAAAAATGTATCAAAATTCTGTTAGTTTTTGCTTAAACCAAGAAAAAATATCTGCCAATGGGGTAAGAAAAATAATCATAATTCAAAGAGAAAACAACAACAAAAAAGGATTTTTTTTTCTCATTTTAAGAAAAAACTAATAATTTTGATACATTTTTCAGAAAACAAGACAAAGATAGTAAGTAATTTTGCTTCTCAAGTAAATATATCTTGATTTAAGAACGTTTAGATCATTTTAATGGAAAACAAGACAAAAATACTTTAAGAAAATCATTTTTGAAGTGCATGAGAGAACAAGCTGATACATAAATGAAAAATATCTGAGAACTTCTGAGCTGTGAACGGGCAATACAAGTTTCACAGCATCTGTCATGATGGGTTACTGACACACGTCTCAGTTTTTTGAGGTGGGTTTCATTGCCATCGCTAATCACACAGGGGTCAAAGGAACGAACGGCTGCACTTTTATCAAATCAATGAGAGCCTGAGAGAACAACATAAAGCTAGCGGACCTCTCAGCCATTCGATATGCTGCGGACGATGAAGTCAGGCGAAGCTGGGCTGCTGGAATGTGATTGCGGCAGAAAACATGGATAGAAAGTGGGCCATGGGGGTGTATGTGAGTTGTTTAGAGAGAAAGGATCGAGTGCTCAGGCCATATTTTTAATGAATATTTAAAAATATTTTGTCTAAAAAAATGTATATTTGATTTTTCCAGCTAATATTCCATATATAAAGTTATACATCAGTGCACATTATTCTAAAGAAGAAAAATGATGAAAAACATCTTTTCATTGTCTGTTTTTCATATTTTCCAACATGTTTTTCTTATTGAATGTCTTCCTTCACTCACAATATATCATGCTATGGAAGTACAATAGGTTGCAAATGCCATTTCATGTTAACTTTATCCATCTGTAAAAATAACTCTTAACACAGGCAAAATCTAACGGCAAAGGCAGAGTTTTCATCTTTCTCCCTCCTGTCCCAGATCTGCCCGTTCCAACAGGCCTCCGCTAACTGATCAGCGCCGCCTCTAAAACAATCCTGATGCAATGAATATCGATGCAGTGCATGCTGTCTTTGGACTATAAAGGTCACTGGTGGACTGAAGACGTATTACAGGCATGTATCACTACATACCATGACATACACTTTACATTCACTGACCTACTTTTCAAAAGAGGCTTTTCATTCATTTCCTCTGGAGACGGTTCTCTGAATTTAGCATGACTATCAAACCAGCTCCGGCTCACAGCGGGGGTGGGTGTGGAGGCCATTGTACTGGCAGCTAAACTGAAGCTGCTTTTTACATTAAAACTTTTGAAGGTGAATGTTGTCGATGCATGCACAACCATCATTCATCGGCGATGCATCCAGTAAGATACATTTCTGCTACTAAATCTGAAACCGGTTCTGTTGGAATAGCAAACTAATAATGTTTAGTTTGATTTTTGATCCCATTTTATTTGAGGCTACGATATATTCCAAAGGATGCATGCATGCTATCCGAAAGCTAGTGTTTCAATAAAACGACATTTTGAATGTGAATGTTTTCAGTGCATGCAAAACCATAATTCACAATGATTTCCAAAGAACTTCAATGATGTATTGCTTCATATTCATTGGAGATAAGATACATATCTTGTAAGAATAGTTAAAAAAATGTTTTCTTTATTTGAGGCTGTGCATTATGGTATATTCCTAGGATCTTCAAATAATGCATGCATGCTTAACAGCTTGTTATTCATTAAATAAAACGAAACAAAGGCCTACTTATGATGGTGAATGTTTCGATGCATGTAAAGCCACATTCACAGGGATTTCCAAAGAACTGCAATGATGCATTACTTCATATTAAGGTAAGATATCTTGCAAAAATGGATAGGACTTTTTTATTTAAGGCTAATCTTAAAATAATGCATGCATGTTTAACAGCTTTCCATGAAGTTGTTTTTAAATGAATTTAAACATACTTATAGTGAATGTTTCCAGTGCATGCAAAACCAAAACAAAGATTTCCAAGGAACTGCAAAAGTGCATTGCTTCATATTCACTGGAGATAAAATAAGAATGGCTAAAAAATTATGTTTATTTTATTTAAAGCTATGCATTACGGTATAATCTTAGGGTTTTAAAATAATGCATGCATGTTTAACAGCTTTCCATTAAGTTGTTTTTAAATAATTTGAAACATACTTTTAGTGAATGTTTCCAGTGCATGCAAAACCATAATTCACAAAGATTTCCAAGGAACTGCAAAGGCGCATTGCTTCATATTCACTGGAGATAAGATAAGAAATAAGAATTATGTTTATTTTATTTAAAGCTATGCATTACAGTATAATCTTAGGATTTTAAAATAATGCATGCATGTTTAACAACTTTCCATACAGTTGTTTTTAAATGAAAGAAAATGCACTGAAATCCTTCACATCATAAGTACATGCAAACCACCAGTCACGAAGATGCTCCATTCATTTAGAACATAACATGCAGCAGTCTAAGACACGTTAACAACAAAATTATTGAATGCAATAAATTAATTAAAGTAGCAATGTGGGCAGGTTATGGTTATGGCCAGGAATAATGCATTATATTCTGTTTAAATGAGACCTGTTTTACAATGCATCCATGCATGCTCGATAGCTTTCCACAAGGTAACAAATGAATCCAGTGTGACCTATAGAGCTCCAATGGTTGACCCACGAAGAAACACATTTGAAAGTGGGACTGAGCACATCATCCACAGAAACAGAGGTGACAGTAATCCAACATCTGATGGAATGGTGTTGACATAACTGGACCACTACAAAACCGAACTGCATATAACGGAAATGCCATCATATGAATCTCTGGATTCGCTGTCAATTCGTCACCTCATATTCTTTGCCGCTTTAATCGCGCGAGTTTTCAGCCCATCTTTCATGCTGTTTTGTACTCACAGTGATGCGAGGGATGTTCTTCTTGCCCTGGTATCCGGACATCTCGGCGCTGATGGCTGGAGATCCGCACGCGTAATGGTTCCCGATGCGCGTTTGGAGAAGCGACGCCCCGCAGCTCAATGACACCCGCCGCCGTCGGCACAAAACAACCCGGACGCGATGGAGGAAGGTTTCCAGACAATCCTGCAGAGATTCTAGAGGTGGAGGATGAAATTTCCCCTGTGTTTCACGTGACGGGCTCTTCTCTCTGGTTCCGGCAGGACGCTCCAGACAGACACTGATGGAGATTTACACGGCCAAAGTCACCGTGCATGCGCAACACCCCACCCTGATCCACGCACGCACACACACACACACACACACACACACACACACAGACAGTCTGGTTGACTATCCTTGTAGGGACTCCCCATAGGCGTAATGGTTTTTATACAGTACAAACTATATTTTCTATCACCCTACACCTAAACCTACCCCTTACAGAAAACTTTCTGCATTTTTACAATCTCAAAAAAACTAATTCTGTATGATTTATAAGCCTTTGTACCCATGGTGACCTCAATTTAGGTCCCCACGGTGACACAAGTCCCCATGAGTTGGTGTGTATCCAGGTTTAGGTCCCCACCAGTATAGAAAAAGATGTACACACACACACACACACACACACACACACACACACACACACCTTCATACATGCAGGACAAGATTCATTAGATAAAAACAATTATATTTCTACAGATTTCTATTGTATATGTACTTTCATAGAATTACAAAATTAGTTTGATGAATAATTAGGCTATGTTGATCGTATTGATTTTGTGAAGCACAAAAGTTAGCAATAAGCAAGAGTTACATTTTCTGTATAATATGAAACGACAACATTTTTTATTTATTTATATGACTGTTGATAGTATTCTGAGGTCTCTCTTTTGAATAATATACATTTTGTATAACAATGTACAAATATTTTGCTGTTCAAATAAACAATTCGTTTTAATTCAATCAGAAATAAAATGAAATAAAAGTTTTAATATAGCTGCTTTATTCATTATGGTTAGACCAGCAGATAGATTTTTGAATTTAATCAAATCAAATCTCAACATCTCAACATTTCTGCAAACTTAGAAATGACTCCTGGCCTGGTTTATCCTTAATAATCAAATTTAAAAATAAAATAAATTCTTTATTAATTTATTAATCTATCCTTAATGATTATTTTTTTTCTCTAAAATAAAATCACAGCTTTTAGGAAATGTGTTGTGTTGATTTATTGTTTTTCATTATTCATTATGATTAGACCAGCAGCTTTCTTTCTTTCTTTCTTTCTTTCTTTCTTTTTTAAGTGGCTGATGTTTCCAGAAAACCTTACTGAAACAATACAACAATATAATTTAGGACCAATAATGCAATTTATTTATATTACTGATGAAGATTATATAATTTATTGTGCCTTTATTCAATTTTACGAATGACTTATGTGCAATGTAAATAAATTGTGGAATCTCAACTCACATTTTAGTGTCGCTAGAATGTGCCAGGCCTTATCAAAGAAGATGCACTTTTAAAAATGCAAAAGCATTTCTCTTTTGAGAGATTTTCATACTTAAATATTATGAGGGAAATTATAATATAATGGGAATATGTTGACAAATAATGAATTAGCATTAGATTTCTCCTATAGTCTTGTGCACACACATGTAAATCTAGAAACAACCCCTCCACTTCAGCATATGCAACCTCAGAACATCTGCCAGCAGCCAATCACGTGAATGGAAGCACACAGGCTCCTCCCACTGAGTTTATATGGTTGCCGTGGGTTACTGGGTAAGCTGGTCCTCTATGCCTGTCTCCCATAAATGAAGAACACAATGGAATCCCGTTCATGTGTGAGATAATTTGGTATTTCATGGTCCGGTTCTCAGTGCATGGCTAATCGTTCTTTATTAATGTGACCAATTTGCTGCACAAAGGAAAAATTAGTGTACAAACTATTTGGAAGCATCTCACATTGTTGAATGGCGTAACAAAGATGTGTCCTGTGAAAAGGAGCAACCAATGAGCTGCTTTGGAAGCTGAAACCAGCACCAGCATGCAACTACACAAACCAAACTACAGCATGTTTTACACTGCGATTAAAAGACTAAAAGCTCATTTGCTCTTCCTAGTGTTGCTAAGATCTAAAATCACAATGCTCATCCGTGGCTCGATAGATGTTTGTTTTACTGCCACTTCTGTTTTTCATTTTTAACATCAATTTGGCTTTTTAGCCATTAGGATGCAGTAATGTGCTAATTATCACTGACCAGACCTATATTTAGAACAGCACACTATACTATCCCTGCACTATGTATACTATATACACTTTTTTGTATGGTTTAAGTATGCAACTCTAGTTTAAATTTCAGTTTATTCAGTAGAATTTAATATACAGTAGAAATATTTGATTTCATGAATCATAGTAAATATTTACTTTTTTTCCCCCATTGATTCGTTATATGATTAGAATTTCAAGCAACACTTTATTGACTACAAATACAAAATAACTTCATTTTCTAACATTTAATTATTTCTAAATTGTTATTTTGTGGTGAGGTCATGTGACAATAGGGCATTTCACTCGAAACAGTAAACCCTGAGTAGAAATATGTAGAAGTAGAAAGAAGTATGACGTTTTGTAGCATAAATAGTGCGAGTAGTGTGTTTACACTGAAAATTCCAAAAAGAAAAAGTGCACTTTAAATACCCGGATGATGCACTTAGAGTCCGCATGAAATTAAAATGGATACAGCAGAAATTTCTGCTGTAAAGTTGGGCATTTTAACATGGGGAGTCTATGGGACTGACTCCCTTTTGGAGCCAGTCGATGAATTGCAGTTTTAGTCACTTCCGTGTTGGTTTCACGTGAGAGACCGGAAGGTTGCCGCTTGGGGTTGTCAGGTATGTGTTGGACACTTCATGCACTCAACTGTCACAGTTTTAATTATGTAGCAAAGGGGGAGGGGCTATCAGACTCCGGTTATAAATGACAAAATAACCTTATATAATTCATACACTACATGGTTGAGTTCAAAGTGCATAAGTACGTAGTGTTTAAGTGCATAATGTATAGTGCATCATTTGGGACGCAGCTATTCTGAACCACTGATGAACGGAAACCTGGGTTGTTTCATGTTTCTCACTGCTAATAATTTACCCAAGGTTAACTATTAATCCTGGTTATTCATAAACCGACCTTTCACACTGTAACCCCCAGGTTACAACCAATAGAGCAGTGCATTTGCACCTACATTACGGTTTGGTCAGTTACCCAGATGCACGGCCATATTGGAGATACTCGGATGTAAACAACAGCATGGATTGCACGGTTAATTTAGCATACTACTGAAGACGTTGTTCTACTAATTTATGATATCTAAACCATGAAAACCAAGGGCACGATATTTTGACAAACTAAAGTTAATAGGTGGTAAAGATCGGTACGAGCTGGCTCCTTTGTCGTGGACTGACGACCTGACAATTCTTCCTTCTGTTTCTTAGTGAACTACTTAGTTTTTCATACACGAGTTCCATTCGGTTCAGTGGCATTGTTTACGTTCAGTGCCACCAATATGGCCGACTTCTGGATTGATGACGTGTCATGAAAACACCCAATCGCATGCCTTATTTTCACATATTTATGTTCTACAAAAAAAAACAAAAAAAAAACTAGTAAACGTTAATGCAAGGGTGTTTCTAATACAGCATCTATGGGAGTGACGGTCAATTTGACATTGAAATTGTCAGTAATTATTTTTTTATTTTTCCTTTTTTTGAAAGTCATGAAAACACTATCATGGAGTTTTTCTTTTGCTATTTGAGCAAGTGGGAATGCAAAAAATATATTTGTGGTAGTCTCCCATTCACTGCTATATAGTTTACCCAACTAGTACGACTTCTGCTGCTGAGAAACCCGGAAATGTGAAAAAGTTTCAATGGCTGTCGATTGCTAACCATCTAGCTGTGATATTCTTTGAGACCGCAAAAGCGCTGCTAACCCTGTTCCGGAGCAAGGATTCATAACCCTGGATAAAAGCGGGGTTCTAAATTGTTCTAAAGTGTGAAATTTTACTCTACCCGTGATTAAAAGCAGGGAATGTTGATAACCCGGGGTTAAGCGCAGTGTGAAAAGCCCCTAACTTGATCGTTACCTAATGATACATTCATCTCTTAATAATAATACAAATAAAAAAACAGTAGGCAGTATATAATATGCAGTGTTCTAAAATTACCAATCAGATGACAAAGGAGTATCTTGTAAAAGAACATTCACATTAAACAAAGTGTGAATAAATAAACTCAAAACGCTCTTGTAGTGGATGTAATTCAAATGCAATTTAAATGTCAATATAAACACATTCAGAAACAACATAAAATCCGTTCATCATTTATCTACTTTTAATGCAAACAAAACACCAGACATGATTTACACAAGTGTCGCGAATCAGTTCAAATTCTACAAAGGCCAGCTAAAAATGCTTTGGCAAAAGAAAGCTAACAGCTCCGTGTCCACCTATGAACGAGATTTAAACAGATGTTCAGACCACATGAAGAAGAGATCACTGTAATCACTAAAGAAAGACTTCAACAGATCAACAGATACAGGTTTACGCTGTGATCTAAATGTTACTAAATCTATTTTGTGAAAACAGTTATTCACAGTGGGTGACTATGCAAAGCTGGTTGTATTTCAACCAACCATCCAAACAAACCAAATAAAAGTTCAGCATGTAGTAATTAAGGCAAGTGAAGGAAACATAAGGGAAGAGGTTTTTCTTTTGGCAGTGGCATAAAATAATCATACAAATAAGAGAATAATGGACCATGAATGTAAAATAAAAAATAAGATTGAAACCAAACAGTTTCACATTCTTTGAACAGAGAGAAATCTGCTTGAAGTACAGTACAGTACAATTGCATTTGAGGTGTACTGGCAAAGCTCAGAAAAGGACAAGTGCATACAACAACTTCACTATATTCCAAGTCTCCTGAAGTCATACAGTCCTTTATGTGAGGAACAGACCCAAATTTAAGCTATTTTAAATAATTTTTTATACTTTTATAATTGTATTATAATAGTAATCAGCTTCGTGAAGACTGAAGAAGAAAGAAAGTCAAACAGGTCTGAACATCACAAGCATCAGATTTCGCATTTTTGGGTGAGCTTTCCCTTTAAACAAAACAACATTCTGCTTTTATCTGTTACTGAAGCATTTGCTAGCTTTCTATATTTGAAGTTTGCACATAACAGAATAAAAGCGTATCCTGTACCATGCGGTTTTCTGTATCTGTAACATG